CCTATGAGATCACCACAATGCTATGTCTCCCCCACAGAATAGTATTCACATTCTGAGAAAGATGCTATTCTGCAAGTGGAAGCACTGCTTTACTGATGTTGCACAGACAAGGGTAATATACACAGAACATGCATGCCTGCAAACACATCTGCGCGCACCCACCTAAACACACACACACACACACACACACACGCACAACCGGGGATTTCGCAGTCACACATTCACAAAAAGGGAAAAGGAGCTGCTTTGTCTCCATTTGGGATTTTTTCGTTTTAATGGGATTTTGACTGGAGCGGAGCTGTTTTCCGTTGTTCACCAGAAAACTAGGACACTCTCTAAGTGTCTTCTTGCTGTTGTGTGAGTCTAACCATCATGTAGAGCATATGTCCTTCTGAGGATGATCTGAGGAGCCTTGCATTCTCCTTGTATTATGTTGAGTAGTTTAATTTTGTAAATGTAACATTTCTGTAGTTTATTGTGTAAAGGTAGTCTTTAAGAAATAAACATTTATGTACAGTATATCTTTATATACTTATCAGAAGACTAAACAGCAGTTACAATAATTTTCAAATCACCATTAAATGCCTATTGTTAGTGTATGTGCTTCAGGATGAATGTAGCATGAATTAGGCCACACAGAAAAGCATTTCATATTTAAGGTTTAACATGTGAATCCTAGCTTGGAAAATGTGGTATACATTTTGTCAGTGCTATCCGTACACAGTGAACTGCTAACCTGGATTTATTCCTAAAATATTACAAAGTCTATACGTGCATATTAATAAGAATCATATTTCAGTGCTGAATAATAGCTGTTGTCAAGCAACATATAGTCAAAATGATAACAGGCTAGGCCAGCATTATTATAACTGCCAACTCTCTCTAATAAATCTGAAATGTCCCTGTGAGTATATTGCTTGTACCCGTATGCATGCACACCCCAGGCAGAATCACTTTTCACCCTCTGCAACTGGGGAAATGTTGTGCATTATTTCACTATGGTAACACAGCTGTGCAGGGAATGACCATTGCCTATACACGTCTGCACGCCCACACGTGCACAGACACACGAATACACTGCACATATCTCAGCCATATGAATCACAGTGATCTCCTCATCTCAAAGGGTTAAAGAGGGGAGTTTTTATAGGGCTAGCCCACAATTAACCATTATTTACAGCCCTTGCATGATGGGGCATATACTGTAGGCTATATGTCATTGTGTATATAATATAATGTACTGTAAGTGTGAGCATCAACATATCTACTGACTGATGTCTGACAGAGCAAACTAAAAAACAGAACGTATTGAACATGTATATTGTATAAATAAAATTTAGATGTAAGGGAGATCCTTATATATTTTATTATTATAGTGTTCCAGTTGGTTTGAATAACACTGCATTTACCAAGCACTGTAGAGAGAATAAAAAGGACCGCTCCACTGGAAAAAGCTTCACAACAGTCTAGTAAGGCCAAGGAATCCAGACAGCTATTTAACAGTCAAATCATAGTCCAATCAAAAGGTGTTATTTGGATGTTTAAATGAAGGTGAACACTGTGAAATTTGTTACCCAAACAATCTGCAATGGCTGTCTTTTGTTTTGTAAAGCTACTTCCCGATTGAACCTACAGGTTTACAGAGGGGTCTGAAACTGAGAAGTCAAACAGAATGAAAAGTAGGGTCGGCATCAAACTAAACAACAGGATGAGTTTTTTATTGCTGTGAAGGCTCCTGTTTCCTTGGCCCCATTGGACTCTACTGGAAAGCTGCTTCCAACTGACCACTGGCGTCCAAGCCTGCACTATGACAGCATTACATTTTAGTTAAATTAGCTAAAAGTATGACTGTAAGATCCAGATTGTAAAATATTGGAAAAGTATTTTAAGAATGATATAACCCTGGGGTTAAGTTACTTCCACAAACTCTGCTTTTGCTATGTAAAAATGCATTTTATAGCATACGTAATGAGAAACACGGCATAAATGACACAGTGAGGTCACTGACCACTGGCTAGATGACGACAGCAAGCTGCCTTTTAATTATGCTCTTTTCCCCTGCTAACCCATACCCACTGAAACCATGTTTTAAGTCAATTTTTCACAATTCAAATCCTTGTTTACTCTCAAAGACATTCTCCACAAGCCTGAAGACTGAGATTGGTGTCAGAAAAAAATAAATTGTTACTGAGAGCCATTGGTTATTTTGTATGTGAATAACATATTGGAGGGGAACAAATCTGATTCTAAGACAAGGCACATTCACACTCCCAAACACACAGGTTCTCTTTTCATACATTTCTCAGAGGAATGTGGATATGCGGGGCACTCTAACCATCTCATTAGAGGGAAACACATGGCTGGAGTAGGGATTTCATGCGCATGCAGCAGATTCGTGCTTACATGAACAGTATGTTACATTTATGCATCATCGTAGAGTCCATGGCAGATCAAGGTTTCGGCCCACAAGTTCGTCCATATGCTCCAAAACATCCTGACAATAGCCACCATTCATCATATCTGCTTGACTAAATCACAGGCAATCCCACCACTGAAATGCATCTCTGGTGGGACAGCCTCTCCCCTCTCACACCCACCTGATGCTCTGCTTCTCACAGTGCACACTGAGGCGACTGTGGAAACCGAACCTTTGTTCCACTGCTGCTCCAGCTGGCTTGGATAGAGCATGTAACGGAGCTCCCACCATTCAAGATCATACCTGCCTCTCATTACCATCTTTACCAAGCTTGATATTTGAACTCATGAACTCTACACAGCAAGCTTTGATGGTCAAAGTTTACCAAAAGCAACCTTTGAGACAATTAGTTGATCAACTGATGAATAAAACTGCACTAATCATTCTATTTATATCAATAATGGCTAAAATTACCCATGACCTGTGATGTGGAGGGGTTCACCTGTAATGAATAATCCACAGCTCTGGGAGCTTCTTCTAGCTCATTGTTTTGATTTTATGGTCCACAACTTCACTGTTTTGGTTCACTCTCTCTAATCAACTTCATTTCCAACAGCAGCAGACATCTGCTTTCAGCAAAAAAGCTGTAACATGCCACTGTACGCTACCTGCCTGGTGACAAAGCTGATATTTCCCATGGGAGTTGGTGGATAGCAAAACAGAGCTAAAAGGAGCATGACATTCATCAGGTGGACACGGCAGAGGCAGTTTGCCAATAAGTTTACCGTATCAATGTGGTTGAATGGTGATAATATGTGTCTAAGATTATCTTTACAGATTGCTTCTACTGTCCTAAACACCAGGTAATTTAGCACCAGCAATTTAGCAGTTCAGTACTGCACTACTAATTATTACTAATACGACTTTAATAATTCATTAATTACTTATAATGTAATATATCGAATTAAAACGTGTTATTTCGAGCTCCTCAAATATGAGATATTTCTCTACGTCAAATTATTATAAACTGAATCATTTTGGGATTTTTAAATTGTTCAGAGAAAATAAATGATTGGAAGGTGCCCCTTTGGAATCACTTAGCTTGTGAAGAGCATTTGTCTTTATTGACACAAACGTAACAATGAATTGATAGATTGTCATTACTTGTAGCCTTATTTAAGACAAATTGAGGAAAAGTAATTCAGCAGCAGCCAATCAGAGGATACAAACACCATATAAACAGTAGGGTGCTCCCTGGGGATCACTAGCCGTCACCGTGTGTTTTTTCCTGTGGCATTTACACAAACACAAAGCACAGATAGAAAGTCGTGGGTTGAGAGAGACACCTCCTACTTTAGATCCTTTGTGTACACACCAAACTCACTGGTAACATCCACATAATCCACACACAATGACAAGGTGAGGAAGGATGGAAACGAAGTAAATCATGGAAGGGAAAGGCAGAAAAAAAGGTTGTTGTTTTTATGGGTAAAAGTGGCTGTGATGCTGGGAATAAAATAAAGTACCATGTATGCAGATTGTACCATTTCCTTTTACCTCTGGTCAGTTAAGTAAAAATGTCCATTAAGTTCTTAATCACTATCACCTGCTGGCAACAAGTCTATGAAAAGTGCTTAAGACTCTACAGCTCTAAAAGCAGTACCATGATTCGGCAACATCAGTTCAAACACATTTACATCAACTATAAACTGAAATTTATATTTGAAGTTACAACTTATATGAAGTTTTTATTTGGTGGTGACCTCGCCCTGTGAATGCTGTTACTTCTAACCTCATGCCAAAGCCCACAAGGAGGGCAAGTGTATTTGTTTTCAGTTACAATGTGGGAAAATGTTATACTGTGCAGGGGGGCCACTGCACCCCTCCCAAAAAAAAAGAACACATGGGGCGGAAACACATTTTGTATTTCTAACTATTTCAACACAAAAGCACTGTGGCACTCCAGAGCAGAAGGAATTCTTTGCTGGTGGTGTCCAATATCAAACAATGTCCGTCTAATCTCCACATCCAGATATTTGACTTGACTCAGGATGAGTGAGATTCACTTTCTATAACAACAATCAAACTTTAGACAAGCACTTGGTTTTCTGCCTCTTCAAGCAGCTGGGGAGAGACCAGAGAGACCTTATTTATATTTTCAGTGCACTACCATTCTGTCTTCTTAGATGTATTACAGGAGGGGACGTGTCCATTGCACACCTTCATGGGTGTTCTCAGACAATAGATTCCTGGTTGTTAGGGTCACATGGAGATAATATAAATTTTGAGAAAATTATGTGCAACTAGGGCAGAAAAAGCTGTATGATAAAGTATAAATTCAAAACAATAATGTTAAACCAGTGAAGTATAGGGAGCCTGGGGGTGCTGAAGTCAGAGGTGTGAGAGGAAGGAAACACACAGTGGGTGTCTGAAAGGGTTGAAAAATGACCAATTAACACATTAAACAAACAAGCATATCTAAATCCACCTTAGCAAACTGCACAAAGAGTCGCAGAATAACCAGCACTCATCATACCAGCCAATCTCTTTTGCAGCCCTGTTTCAGGTTGAAAAGTAAACTTACATTTGGTGGCTTTTGTGTCCATTCCGCTGGTGATGCTGTCCCGGTGAGAACTGCTGAAGTTTATTGCAGGCCCATGAGTGAGTGTGTGAGTGAGTGAGTGTGTGAGTGAGTGAGTGTGTGAAGCTATGGTGTGCAGGCGTGTGAAGCCACTGCTGACAGATACAGTCGCTACTTTACAGGTCCGCTGGTCGGGAGCTTGAGTCAGGCTGCTTCTCTGCTGGGTCCTAGCGTCAGCTTCAGTTATGAACTGCCTTTAACAGCTTTGAACAGGTATAATGATTTCTAATAGTTTTACATGTTTGGAGTAGTCTTATTCGCTTTCTTGCCGAGAAGCTAATAGTAATTAACACTTTGTATCTAGTGTGTTTAAAGGTCCAGTGTGTAATATTTAGGAGGATCTATAGACCGAAATCGATATAATATACATAACTATGTTTTCAGTGGTGTAAAAAGACCTAACATAATAAACTGTTTTGTTTCTATTACCTTTGAACCAAGCCAATTCTATCTACACACCGCACTTATTTCGGGAAAAATATTTCCAGCAGTAAATGGCGAGGGACAACAAATATTGTGATCCCGTTTGAATTACACATATGATGTTTGTGAATTTCAAAGAAAAATTTTAAATTCAAGCCGCAGTTTGATGTAAAACAGTTTAGGTATAAGACCACAAACCCAAAAGACATGTGTGTGACATCGTAACTGTCTCTCTCAATGACTGAAGCTAAAGTTTCTGAAGCTAAGGTCAAAAAACTTACATGAGAGGATGATGTGATAAAAGGACTAAGAGTCGTTGGATGAATCACATCAGGTGAGATATATTTCTGCGTGGAACACAGCTAAGTAATCCAGCTAATAGCAACCAAGCAATGAATGTTAACTAGCATTACCGCGCTAACATGTTGGTGACGTATATTGTGCGAGATGAGAGATGCAGTTCGTTGAACGGTTTTCACACAAAACGACATGTGCGACTCAATGACTTACACGTTACATTTACAGCTAAACGGAGGCTTAGTGTCTCCCAAATATGGTACACCACACATGCGCACTGGCACTCCCCAACTTAAGGGTGTGGGTTACAATTTTATTCACTCACTTTAAAAAGATTTATTTAATTAATTTATTTTTTCTTTTCACATTTTTATTTACAGCATTATATGTTGATATTTACTGTCCAGGGTGTACCCTGCCTTTCGCCCGATGCCAGCTGGGATTGGCTCCAGCCCCCCGTGACCCCGTACGCAGGATAAGCAGTTGACGATGGATGGATGTTGATATTTATGCCTAAAGTGTTTCACCTGTGTGTAATGATCCTGCCATCTTGTGTGTGTGTGTGCGTATTCCGTGCGCTGCCCTGGTCCGTCTTCATTTAGTGTCTAGTGTCCCTGCCTGTTACCCTCACTTGCATGTTTGTTTGCTGTGTATTTTGTATCTTTGATCTTGCCTGTCTACCATCCCTGGATTGCTTTCTTTTGTTTATGTACTTGGAATAATTACCTGTGCACTGTTGGATGTATTTCATTTCTGTTCTGGACTTGCCACTTGGATTGTTGGACATGTGAACCTACCACCTCACTGTAAGATTGTACCTTTGTGTTTCTTTCAATTAAATTAAGAAAACGAACTTGCTCTACCTAATGTTCTGCATCTGGGTCCAAATCCCTGTTTTTCCCGTGTCTGCACACATGACAGTGAGGACTGACCATGATGGACCCAGCAGACGCTATTTCTGATGAACTTTTGGACTTTGTTAGCAATCTGCCTACATCCGTGCCTGCTAGCAGCCAGCCAGTTATGCAGTCTGCAAGCATCCAGGCCACCAGCCTCCAGCTTGCTATCAGTCTGCTTCAGCTGGCCAGCGCTCCAGAAACTGTGCTAGCCAGATTCCCAGAAACATTGATGGCCAGCTCCACAGAGACTCAGGTGACCAGCGCCTCTGAGATTATGCTATTCAGCCTCCCAGAGACTAAACTGGCCATCTGAACAGCTTCACAGTAATTCAGTTTGCCCTGTGTTCCAGAGAGTCAGCTGATCTGCTCTTCAGAGACTTCTCCATCCAGCTTCACATAGACTCAGCTGATTAGCAAGCAAGAGACTCAGTTGCTCTGTTCCACTGGATTGCCACCAGTTTCGTCTGGTTCTCAGACACCTGCTGGGCTGCAGCAACACCCTGACTTTGTTGAGCTACTGCTACTTCCTGTCTCTACTGAGTTTAAGCAACCCCACGTCCCTGAGCGAGAACTGCAGCCATGCCTACTCCCTCCTGCCTAACTCCCTGTTGTAGCCAATCTCCAATCCTGTTGCCCTGTCGCCGGCCTTCAGCTCTGACTCCAGATACCAGCTAACCAGCCCAGCTGCTCTGTCACTGGCCTCCAGTCCAGCAATCCTGCCTCCTGGCTGCCCTCCCTCTTGTTCTGTTCTGTTCTTTGACTCAGACTCCTGGTCCTGGTTTTCAGTCACGTTGCCGGCCTGGGAGCCATTCCTTGATGGGGGCAAGGTACTGTCATGGTTTGGTTTGGACTTCTGTTTATTTTGTGTCTTCCCCTTCTGTTTTGTTTTACTTTACTTCCTGCGTGTGTGTGTGTGTGTGTGTGTGTGTGTAGTCCGTGTGCTTCCCTGGTCCTTTGTCAGTCCGTCTTTGTTTGGTGTCTAGTGTGGACTTTGGAATAACTACCTGAATGTACTACCTGTTTTTATTTTACTTCTGTTCTGGATTTGCCACATGGAATGTTGGACATCACCTCACCATGGAATGTACCTTTTGTTTCTTCAGTAAAAATAGAAAACTGAACTTGCTGGCTTGGTGTTCCTGCGTCTGGGTCCAAATCCCTGTTTTTTCCCCTGTCTGCCCTCTAGTAATTCCAAAAATGTCAAACAATTCCTTTACAAAATACAAGTGGATGGTTCCCAGCTACAAATAAAAAAGAAGAGACAGAATTTGATTAAAGTTTAATTTTCAGTGACAAATCAAAAATAACAGTATTCAAAGGAAGTAAAGTCTTCAACAACCCTGGATCTTTGTCAGTGTGTTAATACCTTGCAGAGCATTTCATTGTGAATGAATATAATCTCTGTAGCTACAAAATTATTGGATTATCATTCTAAAAGTAATTAATAAATAACAGAATGTGAATGTATGGACTACTACAGTCCTCATTCTAAAACATTTAGTCATTATTCTATTGCAATGAGCTGGAAAACATGGAGCAGGAGGACTGAATTTGTGTTTACTTATGTATTTAATCTACTGGATTGCACATTCTTTTAGGTTACCATACAGCTGCACAGTGACCTTGAACTATTTAACCAGAACATTAAATGAAAGTGATCTGCTAATCTGTATATTTGCATTTCACTTTGGTTTTCATTTTCTACACATCAATTGACTTGAAAAGCTGCGTCCAGCTCAGATTGTTTCTTGTCTCATTCTATATCAATTAGTGTAAACCAGAGGGACACAGCATTTAAATGTGAAAGAGCAAACGCAGGGAAACGGGTGAACAAAACGCATCCCTATTATAAACCAAAGCTAGGTGATGCTGTATGCTTACTCACTCATTCTCCTCATCTAATCATTCAAACTGATAAAGTGTCAGAAATAATATACGTATCTACATTCTACTCATTCAGATTGCTGGTGCTGCACACTCATAACTAATAGAGCATAACAAATAAGGCAAAGCCAAAATTCTCTCTTTATGTTTTAGTACTGCGGCTCTGGTCACAGACATCCCCACAAGTGGCCTTATAGGGCGCAGTAACACCGTCCTTCATCCTTCAGGCTTAAGAAAAGCACAACACTATTGTACTATAGTCTCTATGCTTAAACACCACTCCATCATAACGCCACAGTTGCACTGGCAACCATGTAACAGTTTTAATAGTCCAACTGTGCATAATGTTTCTGTGGCCTTCCCTCAGTATCTCAGTCCACACTGGTGTGACCAGAATTTTTTTTGTGGTATGAGGAGATCTAGAACAGGTTCTCAGCCATGGCAGTGAAACTGAGTAGAAGTCTTCCATCTCTTTCTTTCCCCTTCTACAGCCAGTATCTCACTCTATTTATGCCAGTATCAAAGGATGTCCAATATGTTATTAAAAAAGTCGGGCCTGTTTCTTGAGCTCATTTCTCTTCCACAGAGCCAGCCGGTCAAAATCTTCCATGGTCATGCCAAACACTTGGGTAAACTCCTCTGGGGAAAGGTGACGCTGAGAACACAAAGAAAGACAAAAAGACAACCCAGGTTATCACATTGTACCTGTCATTTTTTAACACTTTCCAAGGACGTCTCACATTCCTCTACTACTATTCTTTTCAACTAGGCCTTAGTTGCCATTCAGTTTCAATTAAATGTATTTGTAAAGTGTCAATTCATAACAGAAGTTGAGGACATCAAGGTTATACTGACAAAAACACACACATAAATTAAACAATTACACCCATACAGTAGTTTACTTGTTGGGTTTTCTAAGGCTGATACTAACATGTTTAGACCAAAGTCAGTCTTCTAGGCAAAAATGAAATGTATAAATAAATAATATAGAAATAAAGTCTGTACCAGACCACAATATTAGATCAAATTTTATAAGATATCATTTAACAGTTAAAATTGGGATGGGAATTAAATATTATTTTTATATATGAAACAGAGTTTGATTGGTGGCTTGTCAGAAGTCTTGTAGGCGGGTGGGCTTCTACTGTGGGTATAATCTTTGTATTTCTAAAATCTTGTCTATGGCGCTAGTTTTTAACTGGACCAGGGACAACTTCTTTCCTGCACAGGTAGCCTAATGACCCCATGCATAACCTTACCTCCAGCCTGGCTCTGTCTACATCTTTGGGCAGCCTATTGCGACCTCTGGTGGTGACAATGAGCGCTTCATAGGGGTAAATCTTTAGAGAGAGAGGCAGCCATGCTTTACCAAATTTCAGACACCTAATTACAATATTGGAACTAATTTTTTCTAGTGATTATTTTAAAACCTTACCTTGTATTCTGCTGGGAGGACAGAGAAGGAGAATTTAAGTCAGTACAATAGAAAAAACCCATTAAATTATCGCTTCAATCTAATAAGGGATAGGGTTTTAAATTACCTTTGCTTCCCAGTTGACCTCGCTGCCACTGTCATACTGGTACTGGTAGCAATCTGCACTCTGAGGCTGCAGGTGTAAAGAAGGACAACTTATACAGATACTGGCACATTATTATTTTTTAAATGGAGACATATAAACGATGGAATGAGATTTGGAATAACAACAGCCCTAACATAATCAACTCTAGTGCCTTGATGTTGATGTAATTTTCATATAACAAATGCAATTTTAAAGATGTGAGACCAACTGAATATAAGCCCCAAGTCTGTATAATAAATACACCCAATCGTGGATTGTTGTGTCTTGTTCCACCCTCTGGATGCCGTTGCGTCCATATCCTGGTAGCGAGGCGGACTTACAAAAAAATCTAAAATACAGAAAACAACAGATAATAGTACCTTAATCAAGACAACAGTTCTTACATCACCACTTATTTTCATGTAGTTTGGCAAGTTGAAATCAGTGCCAGAAGATGGCGCTCCTGACCAACCAAACAATTCCTAACTGTTCCAGATGTGTGCACATATAATGGAGCTTTGTTGATGTAAGGTCATTGAATCAGCACAAACACATCATTTATGATGAAATGCCAACCTCCGTTCAAAAACTAAACAAAAAACAACTTCTATTTAAATAAAACAGAACATGAACGGAGGTGGTCTGCATTTAGACAAGTCATTTCAGAAAATGCATGAAACATAAATGATAAACTCACCACTATCAGCGCTGTACTGAGATCTGGAGCTGTGAAATAAAGAGATCATCTTCCTTATTACAACAAGAAAACAAATGCAGCAGCATTTTGGTCTGCCCTGACCTAAATGCTGATTAAATTCTTCCAAAAAATATTAAGGCAAAATTTCTGTGGAGATTTGACAGCCGTCTCTCTAGTTTGAGGCATAACAAAAACAACAAAAACAGAAAAGGAGCAAGATGGGTACCCATCAAGCCCTGGGAGGAACCCAAAACATCAAAGGGGCAATAAGGCAGAAAGAGGCCAGCCAGGACTGGTTCAGGAACAAGGGGAGAAATAAAATTAGGAAAACAACATACAAGACACAGTGCACCATCTCATCGCACTACACAGCTTGTGTGGTTACAAAGCTTTGTTGCCTTTCAACTGTAGACAACAGAGTCCCATGCAGTTGTGTCCCCCCATCAGAGAAATAGTTTTAATGAGAGATCTTATTGCTCATAAATAAACCAGGATATGGGACACCAGCTGTGAGAGGGAGAGAGAGAGAGAGAGAGAGAACACATATAGATGGAAGGATAGATAGAGAGTAACAGAGTAGAATATGGAGAGCGATATTAGGAGAGAGGAGCTGGTGAAGAGATGGAGTAAAGAAGAGGGAATTGCTGAATGGTGATGAAGACAGGCTGGTGGTGTCTGACTCTCAGGGGCTAAATAACAGTCCAGTGAACCAGTGAAGCGTGGTCCAAATAGAAACAATTGGTAGCTTCAGGTCCGGCTTTATCACATCTGGCACATTTGCACCTAGTTGAACACTTTTGGTAGCTTGAAATGTTCAGAGTCAGCGTGATCAGATACAACAATGAAGGCACAGCTGCTCCTGCTGCTGTGCTTCCACAGGTTCGGCAGCAGCTGTTCAGCTATCTCAAATCTTTCCATCAATAAAACACCCTGCCTGCAGCAGCCATGACCCTCTCTGACCTGCATCCACAACTTCACCTCCTCACCCCAAGCCCCAATGACAGCAGATATGAGTCTCATAAAAAGATCTTTGGCAACATATATGATCACATGGAAAGGAATGGCTACACAGGAATACTGTCAGCAGTTACAGGCATTCATGAACTTGCACAAACAGAAAGAACAAGAGACAAAGAGGGAGCTGCGAAGGGGGCAGGGTGGATCCTTACATCCGTTGACAGTGTTGTTGTACACCGTGGTGCCGTAGCCTGTAGTGTTGAGTGTTCCTTGCTCCCACTACGAGAATTCCTCGCACTGCCCCAGGGGTCGTGTCATAGGAACCAGATCTGGCTTTCATCTCCTCCTTTAGGATCATCCTCCCAATGCCACTCCCAATCTGAGAGGGAGCGAGGAAAGAGGCAGAAGGGGGAGGCAAAAAGAAAGAGACACAAGGGAAAACTGCTAATTTAATGTACAGTGAAGGAAAATGGGGAAAGTACCATACCATAAGGAGTGCATTATTATGGTTGTTTCTGAGGAGGTGACTTTCTTCAACCAGATGTTGAAGAAAGAGAGAAAGAAAATAATGAAGCTCTTACTCTTTGAAGACTGTGACTCCAACTCTTCATTCCTCCTGTTGAGAAGCGTCTTCTCGGCATCCGATAGCTGAGAGAGGAAACAGATAAAGAGATTCCTTGTAGGAATATAGAGCTGAGAGTGGAAACATTAATAGAGTGAATAAATATGACAACACAGAGTACAAGTACAGGAACTGTACTTATATGTCTGTGCTTGGCCCAGCAGCGAATAAAAACAAAATGCAGCTGCCATTCAAAAACTTCCTACCCTTGGGGGAGCTGGTGTATGGGTAGTAGTCAGACTCTGACTGGGTATATGGCTCAGGTGAGTAGGTGGACAGTCTGGAGGATCTGAGGATGTCCTCGCTGGTCCTGCTTTTGGTGGCTGCATCCACATGATTGTCTGCGAAGAAATAAATAAAGTTAGGAGAGAAAAGAAAAAAACACACGGAACCAAAGTAACTGGAATTCTGTGAAATAAATAGTTTGACATTTTGGGAAATATGCCAATCACTTTTTTGCCTACAGTTAGATGTCAAGATCGATACCACTTTCGTATCTGTATCCTATTGTTGTCGAAATGTAAAAAAAAAAAAAAAATCTGCCTACCAGCATCTCTAAAGCTCACTAACGTGTTAACGTTACAAGTGATTTGTTAATCCACACAAAAACCAAAGTGTAAAAATGATTTTACGGTTCTTGGGGAGCGGTGACTTCCGGGAGTCTCCGCTAGCTACCTCACAACAAGATTCCTCATGGTGCTTGGTTTCTGTGTTGATTCAATAAACAAGATAGAACTTGTGAACTGGTGAACTTTAGAGGTGCTGGGTGGCAGATTTGTTACTTTTTAAAAGAGCCAGGCTAGCTGTTTCCCTTGCTTCAAGTCTTTATGCTAAGCTAAACTAAGCTAACTGAAGCTCCAGCGCCTCATTGAATAGAAATACAATATACACTATACTTTTGGCCATGTAGTGTAGATATGACAGTTGTATCAATCTTCTCATCAAGCTCTCTGCAAGAAATGAATAAGCCAAAATGTCAAACTATCGCTATTAAGTGTAGTGTGCTACGGAGGAAAACGCATAAATGAATATCAGAAAGATGTACAGAGGGAGAGTACATTAAAGCTACATATCATGTCATCATATCCACCATTCCTGTCAGAGGAGATCAATATTTCAGCCAACAGCATGAAAAACATCAAACATCAGTTACTGCTCAGCCTGAGGCACACAGCGTTTCATGAGTGGTGTGAGGCGATGATATTGATGCCACTCTGCACCAAAGCACAGTCAATGGAAGTCAATGGGGTGACATGCAGTGTAATGTCAGATAGATCGCCCTTCACTCTGTTAGCTATTAGCCATGCCAGCCCCAATCCATGGCCCATGAATTCCCATATACATGATGCATGAGACCAACGGCAGACATTCTCTATTTGCAACACACACTCAGATTGCCACTACACGCGCGCGCACATTCAGAGCAAAGTTTTACAGAAATTGCTTGACTTCTGTCAGAGGAGATATGGATATACGTTATTGACGTGGCATGACAAACACGGGAAGA